AAGTTCACTATATAACCCATAATTACCTTCAATTTACAGCAATCCTACTGTTTCAGTATTGAAAGTATTGAAATTAAATTATAGACATATGCTATCATACCTACCTAACATTTTTCCAATAGTATTTTATAACTGGCACTTTAGACCGCTAGCTAATAAGCTAATCACAGAGCAAATGCAACAGGCAAGGGAAATAAAAGATAAAACTGGGAAAGTAGGTAAATGAAGGAAAGGAGACGAAGTTGAGAAGCAACTCTTATAAAGAAGGAAAATAAATGAGAAATGATTTTAAAAAGGAACTACCTTTCATATCAAGAGGACCAAAGACAACTAGTGCCAACTAACAGCTTATTACTCCACTTAAGATGGATAATGAAAGAAATATATTCTAGAGGATGCTACATATCACACCATATATAATATAGAATGGCAAATTGCTGTTCATCAGGAGCCATCACAAAGTTTTGAGATGAGGAACACAATTCCTCCATGAAAGGGATTAAGGGATACCCTGACTGGTAGATATAGAATATCCTGCAAAGTTGCTATGGAGAAATGAGGAGTACAATGGGATGGCTCTTGATGTAACCACACGTGAATGACAAAGACTGACAGAAGGTTGAAGAGGGGATAGATTTGAGAGACATTTAGGAAAGAGAAGCTGCAAGCTACTTCCTACTAAATTGATGCTAGAGAGAAAATACCTTCTCAGTTTTATTATATAGTATTTCATATACCTACATCCCTAGAGCTGGCATTGGAGAAATATATTGACTATGACCTCTTATATGTAAGAACACTGGACACTAGGATGTGCCCATGCATCACCTTCATATGGTAAGCAAAATAAGCAGAAGCAAGTCTTCCAAACAGATTTAAGCTTTTTGTGGTGGTTCTCAACAGTAGAAAATGGTGGACAGAGAAGGCAGGATTTTTCCCCATTTTTGGCTAGGTTCTAAAGTGATAAGTGAGGATCATGCAAAAGACCATGTGATAATACCCATCCAATTGTATGCTCTTATTTTGGTGACAGAAAGGAATTTAATGGTTTAACTCTACACATTTTTTCCAATAGCAAGACAATACAGGCTCCATGACTCAGTTGTCCCAACAATGATGTCACAGCAGCTTTAGTTGCCTGCAGTGGGCCTGTCCACACTGTCAATAACCAACCTCAGATGGTGAAGGTGGCCATGTGACTGTACTGTTCATGGATGATCTATTGGCAAATGATGGATTCTGAAAGAGGGACAATCATTGCCTCCAGCTTCTCAACAGTGAGCCCATCAGGCTCCAAAAGATCATTCTAAACCAGTAACCTGGCTAAAACCAATATGTCACAAAACAAAACAGAAAGGCTTGAATGTTGGAAGGAGATCTGTGGGGAAGGCACAGAATGGGAGGAAAGAGTAAGTAGTCAAAAAACAAATGTAATCAATAAAAAATTACATTTAAAAAATGTGGGTCATGTTTCTCAGTGCAAAAGACATCACCCTCAAGAGTGCCTGAATCAATGAGGCACTTCATTTGGGATGTCAGACCATAGTTAAGTCTTAACAAAACTTTCAACTTTCACTATGGTGATATATTGGTTAAGATTTATTGAAGCCACTGGAAATCAAAATAGCAAAGCAGTCATACTAGTTAGAAATAGAAGCCAGGCACACACCTTTATTTGAAGGACTCAGGATTAAGAGGTAAATGGATCTCTATTAGTTCAAGGCCACACAAAATTGATACAGTCTAAAAGAAAAACAGAACTCACACAAAGGTGATCCCAACACTTGGGATCCCACACCTATAATCCCAGCACCAGGGAGGTGGAGACAGGAGTGATACAGTTGAGTGCAGAGAGGAATATAAGGAGGAGGAGACAGGAATTCAGAGCCTTTTGCCTCTAAGGATTTGTGGAGATAGGATTTCCATTTCACCTGGATAGAGGTAACATCTACTGGTCTAAGACCAAGTTGATTTCCTTCATGTTCATAATTCATGTTTTTCTGAAATTTTATACCATTTTCTCCTAAGCTAATCATATTGCAGTGTTTATACTTTACAATTTGTTTATACCTTTTCAACTTTTCCTTTCAATTTCTCTAAGAATATCTCCACAGAGTAGTTGTGAAAAGAAAGTGAGTTTCATTTCCCTAGAAATTAGAGAACACAATTAATGTGGCCAAGGGTTTTCAGTCAGTAACGTTCGTGTGT